CGTGGCTACCTGACGGTAGGGGTGGGCCTGACTCCGTGGCCTGCGTTCTTTCTCCTGTGACTGTCGAACGCAGCCTGGGAGGTGTGTGCAGCAGCCCAGGGCCCGGCAAGTCTGTGCCCCAGCAGGTGTGTGCTGGAAGCATTAGCTGACCACCATGGTGCTGGGTGGGCCCCGGATGTCCGTGGGCATGGAAGGCCTCGTGTGAATGTTCAGAGGGTTTGTTCCAGGCCGGGGGTTTCATGCTGGGGGGCCGGGAGACTGAGGGCAAGGCTGCAGAGCTGTAGAGCAGGGAGGGCATCGAATGCCATACCCGGGGATTGTCAGTGGGTACAGGGAGTCCTCGTACCCCTCCCCCGCCCCATTCACCCCAAAGTTGTTCCTGGGACACGTGGGCGAACTGGAGTTTTTTTCTCTTATTTCCTCTGTGCTCCCTTGCATTTAAAACACGGTAACCGGGTCCCCCACCGGTCTCCCTTGGGAGACCCAAGTCGACTCCCTGGTTCTCCGGCTGCCTTGGGGGCTCTCCTAGCCAGGCTGTGGGCCTGACCAAGGCACAGGGGTTCTGTCTGGGGAGGGGGCTGCTCTGTTGCACTGTGGGGGTGGTGAGGAGGCCCTGCACCTGCCATGGGAAGGCCACAGAGGACAGGGCCATGTTGGTGGGATTTGCCTGTTAGGTTGATCCCGGGAAGCCTCACGAACTCAAGATTAAGCACGAGATTTGGCGGTTTTTGCAAAGGGCGAGGCACCCGTGTCCAGTTCTTGGGGCGCTGCCTGGATCGCTGGGGGATGAGCTCCCGGCTGGATCAGGAAGACTTGGGAGTTGCAACCTTGTCCCTTAATTCCCCGAAAGATGGGGTCGGGGGAGACCCGTGCACGTGTCTCCTGGTCCAGGGTCTTCTCAGCTGGGAGATTTTAAGAAGCTCTAAGGAGAAAGGTTGCCTGGGTGTGTGAAGCTTGGAAGAGTCACCCTAAGAGAGCCAGGCCAGCGTTCAATTTTTTCTAATCCTGTATAAATTATATATAAATGTCAGGCTTCCTTTAAAAAGACTTCCTCGTCTTTGGAGAAATACAATTTTTAAAAAGATAAATGCCCCCCGTCTTCCAGTTGCGTCTGTTGGGCCAGTTTCGAGCTGTTTTGTATGAACAGAGCACTTTCCTCCCCTGCCTCCCTGGAAGCCACGTCTTCCTCACGCCCGTGCCACGCTCAGGGGTGTCTAGACAGCTCGGGATAAAGGTTTTTTTTCTTTAATTTCTTCGTCATTCAGCCAGTATTCCCTGAATGCCGGCTCTGTCCCGGCTGTCTCGGCCGAGTCCCGGACGATGACTGGGGTTTCTTTCTTCCCCTGATGTGTCGCGCCACGGCTGAGGTTTTGCTCTGCTGTCAGCGTTTGTGTATATTTTTATAATGGAAAATTTCAAACATGGGCAAGAGCAGACAGACTGGTATCTCGAACCCCATACCTTCATCCCCCGGCGTCCACAGTTATCACTCATTCGCTCATCTCGTTAATGCGCGGGGGACATCCTCCTTTCTGGAAAGACGGATTAGGCTTGGGACAACACTGAAGTCCTAGAAAGGGTCAGATGGAGCTCTCGTGCTTTGGGATTTAGAACCGGACTCCCTGGAATGGCTAATCCTTTGGACACCGCGTTCCCTGGTCCCTCATTTCCTGCAGGGCCTTGGGCTGCCAAGGGAAAGACAGGCCGTTTGGACCAGAGCAGTCTTGCTTTTACCTGTTGGCTTTTTCCCCCTCAGATACAGGGTCTTGCTGTGTTGCCCAGGCTGGACTTGAACTCCTGCCTCAGCCTCCTGAGTCGCTGGGACTATAGGCGTGAACCACTGTGTCCTGCTCTTTTGGCTTTGTTTTTTTTTTTTTTTTTTAATGAAGCAGGGAGGGTTCTGTGCAAGATTTAACTTTGGGGGAAATAGTTTGAACTGTTGGAGATAAGCTTAGAGACCCCTCCCCTAGAGGCTGACTGTGAGTGGTCGTCTCCCACCCTTCCCTGCCTCTGCCACGCTTGTGGGACGCAGGCAGGAATAGGTAAGGGCCCACACCTGGGGCCAAGCAGGCGGCACCCAGATGTTTCTGCCCGAGTTGCCAAGTGTTTGGGATGTGACCTCTATTTTCTTCTGGGAAGGGGGGTTTCGAGCGTCCTGGAGAACGTGGTTTTTCTCGGTGCTGCCAAGCCGTGCTTCAGCCCGCCAGGTGCGAGAGCTGCGCTTAGACGAAGTGGAAACGTGCGGCCACTTCTCTCCCTAAGCTGCGACTAAGTATTGAGACATACGAGCACTCCAGACGCTGAGCTTCTTGTCGTGGTGTAACTGTTTCCCCTGCCTCTCTCTCTGGTTTTAAAAATAAGATAAAGCAGGTAGAACCCGACCTTTCTGAATATTGTAGGCAGTGGGGTACCGTGGCTTCAGGGTTCGGAGTGTATACAGTGGGAGCTAATGCAGGATTCACTTCCAGCAGTCTTACTGAGGTATAGTTTACAGCCACACAGTTCACCTGTTATGGATGTACACGTAGATGGTGTTTAGAACACGTGTGCAGCCAGGCAGCCGTCAGCACCGTCCTAGAACTCGTTTCTTCTCAGTACTTGCCATGCAGGTGGCAGCCGGGGCAAGGGTGCGGTTCTCCCGAGCGCTGCGAGTGCGGGACAGTGCAGGCAGGCGCCATCATGGAGGTTTCCTGGATGAGCAGCTCATGAGCTGAATTTTGTGACAATCTCACATTGACTTATCTCATTAAAATGTCACAGTTTTGGAAAGCACCTGGGGAAGGCTGCCTGGGTGGAGTTTTGGCCTGTGTGGGGACCTGTGTGCATGGACCCCCTCCCCCCACCCGCCGCCCGCGCTGGCTTTAGAAATGACAGCAGTTTGCTCCGTCTTTATTGAGCGCTTGCTCTGTGCCCGGCACCGCTCTAGGCACTTTCTGTGCATTAACTTATTTACTGCCACCCAGAGCCCCATCGACTGGGGATTACTGTGCCCATTTTACAGATAGGAAAACCAAAGTTTAAAAAAAAGTCAAATAACTTGCCTGGGGTCACACAACCAAGAAGTCAAGCTGGACGCAGACGCAGGCAGTCTGCGCTCTGAGCCGCTGCCCGCACGGCCTCTGAGCGGGGACAGGCTCCCGATCTGGGAGGTGGCAGCAGGCAGCAGGCCCCCCAGTGCCACACCGTGCAGATTCTGGGATGGGGCGAGCCCAGGCTGCTGTGGGGGGAGGACTTTCTGATGGAGGGAAGCTAAGGTGGGCAGAGGAGCGGGCACAGAAGGGTGCCCAGGAGGAGCAGGTCCAGCTTGCCCACTGCTGGGTTTTGGTGGCCGGCCCTTAGCAGGAGCTTGGTGAAGGCTGAATGACCGAGGGGTGTCATTGGCGTGGCGATGAAGGCTGCAGATCCTGAACCCTGTGCTTCCCGTCAGCAGTGACCGAATCACTTCTCGGCCTTTTGGCTAAGACCAAGTGCAGGAGTGACCGAGACAACTGGAAAGTTCCCCAAATGCCCCCTGACATTTCAGCATCTCTGCTGGGCCGGGAGCAGATTGGGCCATGTCCTGGTGAATCCTCCCTCCCCCACCCCAAGTGCACACAGCAGCGGGGGGTTCACCGCCCCTCCCCCACCCCAAGTGCACACAGCAGCGGGGGGCTCACCGCCCCTCCCCCACCCCAAGTGCACACAGCAGCGGGGGGGTTCACCGCCCCTCCCCCACCCCAAGTGCACACAGCAGCGGGGGGCTCACCGCCCCTCCCCCACCCCAAGTGCACACAGCAGCGGGGGGCTCACTGCCCTGCGAGCGGCCGTCCTGGGCCCTCCCAACGGGAAGATGAACGTCAGGCTGCCCGCTCCTCAGCGTGTCACCCCCACCTGCCTTCTGCATGTCCAGCGGGGGAGGGCACAGGGAGAGCCCATTGCGGTTCATAACCACAGGAGAGGACGCAGGGCAAGGGAGGGGCGGCAGGGCCCGGGACATCAGGCTCTACTCTTTGTCTAGTAAATCACATACAGAATTTCAGAAAACGACAGCCTCGTCCCTGGGTTTCCCTTGGCCAGACTCGGACGTAGGTCTTTCTACATCGTCTTATTTTTCTCCAAGAAAAATCAGCCGTAAGTGTTAGACTTTAATTACCTTCCCAGGGGACACTTCCTGTGGATAGTTCTAGTGGCAAGTGGCTGAGGTCATGCTCCTAAATAAAATTAGGGTTTTAAACTGGGTCACAAAACTGAGATGCCCCCAGGGGCTGGCAAGGGGGCACAAATGAGGGACGCAGCCCGAGGAAGGCTATAGGGCAGGGGGAGGAGTGTGGCAAAGCAGGACAGACATGTCCCGTGTAAGGCATTGGCCGCTCTCACCTGGGGAGCGTAGCCCATTGCCGCTATCATGTCCATTTTTCCCCCCTAAAATAAGCCAGAAGTCCAGACTTTTTAAAAAGTTGGCAAATAATGTAAGGAAATGACACTGTACTGGTTTAAAATAAAATGTCTGTGAGGTGGATCTGCCCTCCCTGTAGAGATGCGCAGGCTGAGAAGCCCAGCGGGGCCGCGCAGCTTGGGCCCCAGGGGGCCGGACCAGACCTGCACCTGCTGGCGCCTGGCCTACAACCCAGCCGCCGTGCCGTGTGGGGAACCCACCGCTCAGCGGATGCCACTGCTATAAGGGCCCCAGGCTGGCTCTGGGAGGCGGAGCCCCCCCCGCCCCCCCCCCCCCCCCGGCAGTCCCATCTGCCCACCTTGGCTCTCCTGCATAAGGGCCCCGTCGAGAGCTGCCCTTTGGTGGCTGCCTTTTGGGGGCCAGGCACGAAGGGCCTCGGGTAGATGGTCTCTTGTGATCCTGATGACACAACACACACACCTGGTGGGTTCTGTTATCCCCATTTTACAGATGAGGAAACTCTGAGACCCAGAGAGCCTGAGGACTCGGGGGCTGGGATTGAATGTGAGGACGATTCCTGAGCCAGCTCCCAGCCATGGAACGATTCACACTCAGTGAGGAGTGCGTTGCCCTCCCGACCTGGCACCAGCCCGCCTGCCCTCGGTGAGTGGCTGCATTCCCATTTTGACCCACTCCCGGGCATCACCTGCAGTGCAAGGACACTGAGTGGGGAGCGCTGGGAGCCCCACCTACGGAGGACCGCGCTGCTCACAAGGTTGCTGACTAATTCTCTTTGCAAACGGTTCAGTTTCACATGCTTGCGTTTCCAGTAACTACGTGGGTGGATTTGTTTCATTTAAGGGGAAAACAAAACAAAACAAAACATGGAGGGGGTTTTCTTTCCCAAGAAGAGGGCTCGCCAATTACGGGTTTAGCGCGTGCGGCTCCGGGCAGCCTGGTGCAGTTCTGCAGCCAGCGGGCTCCTGGCAGACGGGCTCTGAGGTAGAAATCGCTTAGTCATTTGCAAGCTGGGACCAGGTGCTGGAGGTCAGGGAGGTGGAGGGGCCGTGGGGACACAGCTGCCACCTGGTCCTGCCGAGGGAACCACAGCCACCCTGTGCTCTCTCTGGCTCAGCCCTGCCCTGGACTGGGCAGGGGGAGGGGAGCTAGGTGAAGAAGAAGGTGCCAGGTGGGACAGGCGTCCTCACCCACCGTGGGGCTCACAGGCACCCCCAGGAGAGCTGGCCTGGCAAAGAGACACTTCCTGCTGGCCAAGCCACCCGCTCCAGGTGAGCTGAGAATGGGGTGTGCTCAGACATGCTAGACTCTGCTGGGGAAGGGGTGACGGCTCCCGGGGGATGGGGCAGGGGTGTGCGTGTCATCCCACGGGGCTCACCGGGTGACATCAGCACACTGGACATTAGCACAGCGACGGGTCTTGGCATAGTGCAGGCTCCTGGGGGCCTCTGCTGTGCCAGGCACACCCCCTTGGGCTGCCGGACGGTGAGGGGGTGTGGGGAAGAGGCTGATTGACGGGCGGACAGGTAGGGAGTTCCGGACGTTGCCATTTGCCAGAAGGCGCAGGAGGATTTCCATACCTTAGAGTCTCTCGGTGCCACTGCCTCAGAGCCCAGATGCAGGTGGTCTGTCTGTGACGCTCTGCATCTGCGTGGAGTAGCGTGGCCCTTCTTCAAGACAGTGCTGCTTCTCCAGAGGAGGGTGCCCTGGGAAGCGTCTGGTCTGGGTGGGGAGGTGGCTGGAGTCCAGCTGTGGTATTTCCAGCCTCTGTGACCTGGCTGTGCTGTGGAACTTCTCTGAGCCTCAGTTTCCCATCTGTGAAATGGGGGTGTAAGAGTACCCAGTGGGGCCAGGTGCAGTGGCTCATGCCTGTGCAGTGGCTCAGCCTCCCAGCTAGTTGGGAGGCTGAGGTGGGAAGATCGCTTGAGCCCAGGAGTGTGAGGCTGCAGTGAGCTATAATGATGCCACTGCACTCTAGCCCAGGCGACAGAGCAAGACCCTGTCTCAAAACAAGAGTACCCCATGGGCAGAATGAGGTGATACAGTCAGGCTGCCTTGCGCTCTCCGGGATCCCAGGCCTGAGGCAGTGCACCTCCCCCAATGCACCTCCTGCTCCAAGGTGGAAACATGCTGTGGAATTGACAGTCCTTAATCCTGATCTTTGGGGTTTGCTTCCTGTGCTCTCTGGAGGGGAAGAGATAATTCACAGATAATCCCTTAAGCAGGGGGCGATAAGGTCCTGGAGGCTTTTGATGGGGATCAGGGCTTACTCTCAGCAGGTGAATCCGAGAAGGCTTCCTGGAGGAGGTGACATTGAAGCTGGGCCTTGGGATGGTGAAAACTGGAGAGGGAGGAGGAAGGGAAGAAGGGAAGAAGGCCATCACTAGTGGAAGGTAGTGTGCGTATGCAAAACCACCAGGGGCTTGGGTGGTACCCGGCGTATAGTAAGTGCTTAATAAATGTCCTCACCATAATCAATATGGCCCAGGATTTTCAGTTTGGGTATCTGGGAGAAGGGGGTGTGTGGGGTTGTGGTCGAGATTTTCAGTCCATTAGGTGGGAAAAGACGGCTCCGAGGCCACATGTAGGTGATTTCCTGTGGCGAGGGAACCGAGGTTTGCCTGAGCCTCTGCAGGTCAACGGGTAGCTTGAGTGGGAGCTTTCTATTCTTCTCTGACTTTCAGTTTGACTTTCCGTTCATTCCGTGTTTGCTATGGGCCCCTGTGTGCTGGGTGCTGCCTGAGTGTTCCCCAGAGCCAGAGGAAGCTGGGTGGACAGTCGCAGGCTTGGTGACAAGCCAGGTGGGGACAGGAAGCAGCTGCGCTCCTTCTCCTTCCTGGGCAGGTTGGGGAAATGCAGGGATGGTTCTGGGAAGCGCAGTTTGGGGAGAGATGGCACTTCCTGTGGCCCAGCGAGGGTGCGGTCGTGGGGTCCAGGCAAGGGTGAAGGTGGGCGTGGGCACCCACATGCCGGGACGCACCCCTGCCCCCAGCTCCTCCACCAGGGAGGCGGCCGGCGGCCCAACAGTGACGGGCCTTCCCCCGACTTGGGTCTGTGCCCGCGCGAGCGTCCGTGGCTGTTCATTCCTCCGGCCTCTGCCTCCTTGCCCTTTGTCCCTCAGCAGTGTGGACCCTGCCTGAGGCACAGCAGCTCCAGGCTGCCTTGGGAATGGGGACGGTGTCCTGTTCTATGGCCCACGAAGCCTTACTGCCATGTTCCTTTGTCCCCAAAGCCACCTTCCGCCTCCACCCTGGGTTTCCAGCATCCGGGGAAGACCATGAGTTTGATGCTGGCTTCTGACCTGGATCCTGGGCAAATCGCTCAGCCTCTTTGAGCCTCAGTTTCCACATCTGTGCAAATGGGCATGCGACTCATCTTGCAGAATCTCCCAGGTCTAACTGAAGGCAGGCAGCTGTTTCCGTTCTTCAGAGGAATGTTCTTCCATCTGTTTAACAATTTGGGCAGCTTAGGCAGATCAGGGCCTCTGCTGGTCTCTGGACACACCGCAGGATGAGGCAGGGTCCCTGTCCCTGAGGACTCACCACCCATGCCAGGTGACAGTCATGTGAGCCTCTGATCATAACACGGCATGACGAAGGAGGGGCCCTGGCCGGGAGCCCAGCATGGGGGTGTCCCGTAGTGAGTCCTAAAGAGGTGTTAGGGCCTGGGAGGCCCCTCAGAGCCCGAAGGGCACCGAGCCGGGCAACGTCGTGGGGGCTGCAGGACAATATCTCAAGGGTTGCAGGAGACAACATCGCGGGGGCTGCGGGCCAGTGTGTGGCCACATGAGCCACGTCAGCCGCAGCCCATGATTCACTGTGGCCGTGGAACACACCAAGTCCCACGGCTCCTCCTCCTCCTCATCTGGGATCTTGGAGTGCAGGGGCGGGAGGAGAGGCTGGCAGGACTGGGTGGCCCCAGAGGCCCCGCTGCCCCCACCCCTCCTCGGGACTCCGGTGGCTGCTGTTCCCCTGTGGAGGCAGTGGAGGAGGCGGTGGGGACCCGCTCAGGTCAGGCACTTGGAGGAATCTCGGCCTGCACGTTCCCATGTCCCGCCGTGGCCAATGTTGAGTTATGGCTGACACCAAGGACGCGGCAGAAGGCCAAGCCGGCCTGTCCGGCCGGGCCAGAGCTGCACCCCGAGGCCTCGATGTGGAGCAGCCTCGAGTGTCAGCCACGGTGAGGAGAAGGACCCTCAGGGGTGGCTGGGAAGGGCAAGAGGGGAGGGTAGCAAGGGTGGCTGGTCTTATGAGCCTGTCGGTGAGTTCTCACATCCACACCTGCTGCCTCTGTGGCCACTCAGCTGCTGGCCCAGCCACCCTCCCCCGGCCGGCTTCAGGTGGGGAGCTGCCTCCCTGCCTTTCCTGTCTCCAGGCATCCAGCCCCAGACCTCCTAGGAGGACCACGGCTGGGCTCTGGCCTTGAGCTGGCCACCTGCCTGCCTCGTCCCTGGGCTCAGAGGCAGGACCTCCTCCTCCTCCAAGGGGTGTAGGGGAGCCCACATTTTCAAGTCCTCCAGGTCAGGTGACTTCTGCTGTGCAGCCAGACCTGCCTGTTCCGGACAGGGGAAGAGCCCCTCTGCCAGGGACCCCAGATGTCTGGGTGTCTGTTTCTCACTGTTCCCACCCCCCACTATAGTTTCTCTTTGCCTGTCTCCTAAATTTGCATGGCAGACACTTCCTTCTACAAATGTTTACGGAGCCCCCACTGTGTGCCAGACATTGTTGGGTGGGGGCGATTATAGCGGGGGCAGGACACACCAGAGGGTGGTACTGAGCCATCACTGTCTCTTGGGCCTGGACTGCCCCAGCCAGATGGCTTTAACATTCAAGGACGTCTCTCTCTCACCTGGCCTTTCCTCTCCCTGCCCTACCCCAGGTATGTGCAGGTGTGGGGGGGCCCTAGAGGGCCAGGAGAACCCCTTTCTCTCAGGGTTCCATAGCTCACTGGTGTGGGGATGTTTTCTATATAGCGGGTTGCTCAGAGCATCTCATTTATTCCTTGATTCGCGGGGGAAGCAGGCACCTCCCCCTTCCACTCTGCAGGTATGTCGGGCAATGCAGCGGGAGAACCGGCCAGCCCAGGTCTCTGAGGGAGCTGGTGAGACAGAGCTGGGCCTGGCCGGGGGTTTGTGAGGGTCCCCACAGTGCCGGAGGAGGTGCTGAGATGGCCTCAGGCAGGGGTCTTGTGGGTCACTGTTGGGCCCCTGCTGCAGGCCTCGCGCAGAGGGTGCTCGGTGGGGTTCGAGCGGACGGATGAATGAATGAGCTAGCCGGCCCCTTCATGGAGGAGTTAGCACCTTTGACCCAATCAGCTCAAGTCTGTGGCTGCCCATCGACTGGCTCTTTCTCTGCTTGCGGGCGGGGACTCTGTCCACCTGGCTCTGCAGCCCTGTGCCTAAGAGAGTGTCTGGCACACGGTGTGTGTTGGAGCCACTGACCTGGAGGGAAAGACGGAATTGGCTGCTCTTCTCTAACCGTGGCTGTGTCCCCGCCATGGGACCCTGAGCGCACCCCCCGCTAGCCTCTCCCTGCTCAGGCCGACCACCACCTTCTTTTGAAGGTGCCCTGGAGGGTGGGCTTCGTGGGTCTTGTTCTCTCGTGGGGGACTTTTCATTTATGTCACTGGCGGTTTTGAGGTCACAG